GAGTAGTAACTGGACATGGTACTATAAATGGTAGGTTAGTTTTTGTTTATAGTCAGGACTTCACCACATTTGGCGGTTCTCTTGGTGAATATCACGCTAAAAAAATCTGTACTCTGTTAGATGCTGCTTTAGCAGTAAAAGCACCAGTTATTGGCATAAATGATTCAGGAGGAGCGCGAATTCAGGAGGGTGTAGATTCTCTTGCCGGTTATGGTGAATTATTTCAACGTAATGTAATAGCATCTGGTATTATTCCGCAAATCGCCCTAATTATGGGACCCTGCGCTGGAGGGGCGGTTTATTCTCCGGCTTTAACGGACTTCATATTCATGGTTAAGAATAGTTCTTATATGTTTGTTACCGGACCGGAGGTAATTAAAACCGTTACAGGAGAAGAAGTAACCCAAGAACAACTTGGCGGAGCAAGAATGCATACTACCAAAAGTGGAGTTGCTGACCTTGCTTTTAAGAATGATATAGAGCTGTTACTGGAAACCAGAAAATTTTTTAATTTCTTACCTTTATCAAATTCTAGTCCTGTACCCCATCGTCATACTGAAGACCCAGCTGATCGAGTTGACATGTCTTTAAACACCCTAGTTCCAAGTATTCCCAATAAACCCTATGATATGAGAGAACTAATTGAGCGCATTGTTGATGAAGGAGAATTTTTTGAATTACAACCAGATTTTGCCAAAAATATTATAATAGGTTTCGGCTATATGGAAGGACGATCCGTAGGGTTCGTCGCCAACCAGCCATTACATTTAGCTGGTTGTCTAGATATTAACACTTCCAGGAAAGCAGCAAGATTTGTCAGGTTTTGTGACGCTTTTAACATTCCAATAGTAACTTTAGTAGATGTACCAGGCTTCCTGCCAGGTACTGAGCAAGAACATAATGGCATTATAAGACATGGAGCAAAGTTATTATATGCATATGCTGAAGCTACTGTGCCCAAAATCACAGTCATTACTAGAAAAGCATACGGAGGAGCTTATATAGTAATGAACTCCAAACATTTACGAGGAGATATAAATTACGCGTGGGGTAATTCAGAAATTGCTGTACTAGGGGCTGAAGGAGCAGCTGAAATAATATTTAGAGAAGCATGTAAAGACCCAGAAGCAAAAATACAGAAAATCAAGGAATATAAGAATACCGTTACTTCTCCTTTTATTGCAGCATCTAGAGGGTATATAGATGATATTATAAAACCCCAAAACACCAGATGGCGTATATGTAAGGCACTG